TTAACATTTAAACTAATAATTTTTTTTTTTTAAATACAGCATCTGTCATTATTGTTTTTTTTTACCTTGAACTAGAACTTTTATAATTATTAGTTTAAAATAAAGTTTCAGACAAAGTGAACGAATATATGTTATAGAGACACAAAATAACTGATTTAGATTTTCATTTTTCCATTGAAACTCTGGAACACATTAAGGATTCATGCAATGTGCACAAAAAGGAGAGCACTTCATCTTAAATGTGTGTGTGTGTGTGTGTGTGGGCAAGCATCCAGCTTGTCTAGCCCAGCCAAATGACTCCCCACCAGCATCTTATTGAACAACCAGCTGAGTCAGGATTTAGGAAGAAAGAGAGACAGAGAAGAAGAAAAAAGAAAGAATAATGAAGAACAAACCACAACAGGGTCAGAAGTTGAGCTGTGTGCACATTTGTCAGTAAAGCAGTATCTGGCATTGCAATAGCAGATCTGTATGATTCACATCATCCTCTCGCTTTCCAAAAACACAGCTTTTTTTTCCCCAAATCCCTTCTAAGTATCTCGCTGAGAGACACTGGTCCTTTCATCTAATGCCCAGAGGGCAAATCCTCCATACTTTCTCCAAGGAGAAAGGGCTCCAAGCTGTGAATGCATGCAAGCATCCCTGCGGATGCCATCCGTAGTGTCTTGCTCTTGACTGACATGATCACCTTGTGTCTCATTAACTGTGGTTTCCCATTATGCCAAGCGACAAATGAGCCCCTCTGGTGAAGGAGGTGTGGCTTCCAATGGGCAATGTAATGCAATTATGTAGTTCCAAAGATGTCAGTCACAACAAAAACATGTTAAAAAACAAATTAAATAATACGCACCATCTAACATGTGTGACATCTAAGATGTATAGCATACTGCACATAAATGCAGGAAAATAAGTGGTGAAAAGATGTGCATTTAAGAGTTCTGTGCATACACACACACACACACACACACACACACACACAAACAATTACAAACAAACCGCTTTCTATTCAATTTCGGTATTAAAATAAAACACAACTGTATGCATTGGCTTTTATTGTTCAGTCACATTCTACCATAAACAGATTTCTACATCATTCATGAGTATAAATCAAGAAATTAGAAAGAAACTCATATTTTAAATATTATTTATAACAATCAATCCACTTTGTTTATTCCTGTGCATTGACTTGGAAATTGAATTGTTTTGATTTGATTAGTTTAGCATTATACTGTTTATTGTTTTGTTTCCTTTTTATATTGTACTCTAGCACTTTGAGTGTGAGAAAGGCACTTTATAAATAAAACATATTATTAGTGTTATTATTATTATTCAATACTAATATATCACAATTCACAAATAAAAGTCTGTATGAGTAGTGTGCAGTGGACTTTTGAAGTCCCCTATCTGCATTATATCATAATAATATTATTTTATTTATTATTAAATTAGAATAATATTATTATATTATATTATTTTTATAATAGGTCACATCAAGTGATTTTTAAAATATAATGAAATAATATTTACAGTAATACAGTAACAAGCATAGTTAAAGCATATTTTGTATTTATATACTTTATTTGGTACTTAGTGCTGCTTTGCTATTATTAATAGTCAAATAAAATAGTCATTTTGAGATTTAAGTTATTAAAATTCAAATGTTACTGAAAGTAGTAATGTCACAACCGAGCAGGTTACGTGGCCAAAGATGGCCTGAATGAGTTCAACTGCTATGCATTTCATGGCCATCATCTCACTGGCAGCATAATTAGCCAATCACAGTGATGTGGAGGCACTCCCTATCATTTACACCATGCTTTAGGACCTCTATGAGACCACAATGAGCTGATGGGAGGCAAATGTTATGCTGCCTATTTGATATGATAATTTGTACTTAACTTTTAGTACAAAAAATACAGTGCCATCTCAAAACAAAATGGCAGTAGTCACTGATAAACAGACTGGTGGTGGCTCTCTAAGGTAGGACAGCAGTGATTTGAACTGACCCGAAGACTGAGAAACGGCACGGTCTGAGTCCCCGAAGCACACTTGGGCTGTGTTGCTCTGATAGGTCTCTTGGGGGCCAGACTCATAGTGAGGGGGAAGTATTATGGCAGACCCTTTCTGACATCTCTAATGAGGCAGCCTAGAGAGAGATATCTCTTTTCCACCCTCCTGTTCTTTCTCTCGCGCTCCCCCTTCTCTGTATCTCCGTTCCTTGCTTTCTCTCTTCACCATCTACTCACATAAACATGCACACAGACACACACACAGCCCCTCAGGCTATCCCCTCTCCTCCCTACAGCGACTAATTGGGCCAAATCTGTGATCTAATTAAACGTCCAATTAGTAGGAGAGGGGCCATTTAGCCGCTGGCTACACCGCTGTGCGCAGGAAATAATGTGATTGAAAAACAAACAGAAAATCAATGAGAGAGAGCGAGAGAGGGGGGAAATGAGAAGAAGAGAGAGAGACAGCGGAAATGAAAAAGATGAAACAAGATTTGAATCAGTTGGGTGTTTATAAGGTTAGAACGCAATGACCGACACATACTGCGGCCCCTCAACATAACAGATCATGTAGATGTGTGTATCTGTGTGCTGTCTCCCTCAGCGATGACCTCTTGAACACATGCTAATTACATTATTCGCAAAACACACGCGTTAACTGCATTATTCTATCCGTGCAGTCAGTAAGTACATTATTCTATTAACACGCTCAAAGAACCATAAATATCAGCACATCATCAATTATTAACAGCTCACTTAACCCCGGGGAGAGCCAAACCTCCCTCAGAAACATTCACTTATCCTTCACTTCATTAAATATTAATATAAGGGTCACATTCAACATGGAGGCCATTGAATAGATTGTTCTCATTCATACTGTACACGCTGAGGGTAAAGGCCCAGAAGGGTCAGACTAAAGTGGCACACACACTCACACACACATGTATATATATTTAGAGAGAGAGAAAGAAAGAAGGAGAGAAAGAGAGTTTTCATATTAAGAAAAATAAACATATATAATGAAGTAACTTATGTGAGAAAAATATGTATCCGATTTAGAATAAGAATACTCAAATTACAAATTATAGCTGATAAGTGAAATTTGCCAAAAGCTGAAATCTTCTGGTTCTGGTATACCTTTTAATTAACAGCTTTTTACATTCACAGTCACACCTGCTATTTTACTGTGTGAAATGTGTCTTTTTAATGTGACAAAATATTTAAAAAGAGTAATTTTTAGCTTGGAAATCTCTAAAGGCGTTAATGTGTCAGTTATATGCAAGCTTCTACTCTCAGCAAAGTTTCTTATTAATAAAATTAGCAAAACTATTATGTCAATATTAATTATATAACAAAAAAAAAATTAAAGTATACTTTTAAAACTCCTAATACGTAATACAATACTCAAACTGATACAATACTCTTTCTGACTCTTACCATGGTGGTGAAGTCCAGGAGGCAGGGGAGGCCTCAGCAGATGTTACCCAGCTAAGTGAAGCCTTGCTGGGCTTGGCGTAGCCACAGATCCCCCCAGCAGCTCTGATCTAGCGTTCTGCAGGAGAGAGAGCGGATCACTCACACACAGAGCACAAACCACCTGCTCTGACCTACTGTGCCAAACATTACCAGTGCTCTATGCCAAGGCCGACTTACAGGAGCGGACTGACATAAAACGGTCAAACAACACTGGAGTCTTGCAAGAAACTATAGCCCACATTGACTTTTTGACACATTTAAATTTTATTTTTTAACTACTCACAGCTGACAGCTATGTAATATAATATTATAAGATTAATAGAAATTTCATCTGCCATATTTATTTTTATTGACACATCCTGGTGATCCTAGTCTGTTGATGCACACCCTGTTAAATATATGCAGTGAATAGTTGACAAACTTAACTGAAAAACATCATTGAAATTTAATGGAAGTTCTCTGTTGTGTGGAATTTAAATCACAACTTTATCTCACATTTTTTTCTTAAAGCCATTCAGAAGAAATCATAACAGGCACAAATTAGTTGTTGACAGAAAGTGACACTATTATGCTTAATCTGGATAACAAAGCTCTAATATTTACATTTTGAGAGAAATTAATGACATTTGTTTTAGTTCATAATGATATCTCGAACACTGGTACCTTAGCAAATCTGAGCTCAATTTGAGACATTGTATATGCATATGCATATATAAAACAAATAGAATCAAAAACTGTACAACAATAAGAAACCATTCTACCAGCTCATACACTTTTTTCAAACTAATGCACACCGTGCCTGAATAACTATTTTTACAGTTTGTTTATTTAGGTTGCACGTGGTGGGTTTGGACTGGTAGATAAATCACTAAAACAAAGTAAAGTATATGAATCAGCTGCAGTATTCACTGACATCTTCATGAACACTTTTGTGTCCAAGCTGCAAATAATTAAACAACAATTTTAACAAATGCAAACATAGTTACATAACTGCTATAATACTTCTACAACAACAAACGGCTGTGTCAGTCATTCATACAATGAATAATGTGTAACTTTGAATGTGTTTGCATTTTAGCTTGATTGCTAAATACTATAAAATCCCCGTTATACAGTTGGGAAACGATGACGCAACTTACCACATTCAAGGTGAAACACATTTGATCTGATACTTCCATATCTGACTTCAAACATTACAAACTTTTCCAACGCACTGCAGTGTTTTCGCAGTTTTCATACATTTCGGGACTTCATTCCCGCTCTTGGTCAATGATACTCCAAAATATCTTGAGACCGCAAACACATCTGTGCACGTAGGTAAATAAAACTACAAATACCATAGGTCACATTCTCACCATACGGTCTTTAAAGGGATTTGTAGTTTTTAATGAACAGAATTTAGTTGACTGAACGACCCCCTTCCCAATAATAAACTACAGTTCCCACAATTCTCTAAAACCCGGAATCCCAGTTCCCGTAGTCCTGGCCGTATGTACTGCCCGTTTCCTGCAGCAGAGGAGAAGGAGGTGGTGTTGAGAGACTTGCAAGATCCAACAACATCGCAACCTCAACCAACACCACTATACAATGAAACTATCATCAATAATACCCGCTCCCGAACTGCGCTACTTCACCCTCCTGCTGGTATGTGGCTGAGTAATCGCGCGCTCTTTCAGTAACACACTTTTCGCAGGTTTACTTCGGATAGCTAGCTCATATAACGCTAGCTATTGGAAGGAGTTTATGGACTTGGATGTGATGCTCTTGATTTACATCGGTAATTAACGGGTGATGATTATGAGGTCTTCAGATTTGGAACAACGGTTGACTTTTGCTATGTCATTTCTGAACAATAGGTCTAATGGCCTATGATGAATGTAGGTTACAGTGTGGCTAACCAGCTATTAGAGTTACCGGACTTGTAGTAATGATGCAGCTGCAAGTATGGGACGTTTTGAGAGTTTATACTCTGTTGGCCAACTATTCCCATTTAATGCACAACCACACTTGCACATAAACACGCCAACTTGCATGGTAGAGTGTTTAGAGTGTTTGCAAGCAAACTAAGGGTCATTCAATCATACAGCCTTTATTTTTAGCAGTTTCAAATGCAGTGTTGAAAGGGCCAGGAGAGTTTTGCTCCCTAGTGTAGATAATGACGCAAATATAGGAGTTTTGGATGAATATTGCACCATGTCACTCACAACGCAAGTTTGGGAAAGTCCTTTAACAAATGAATTAAGCACTTGAAATCGGTTTTTAACAATAGGAGCCATACAGTTTTCAGGTGTCAGCAGTGATCTTTATAGTCCTAAAGTAAAGAGAGGGATATTTTGGGATTCATTTCATCCGACTTTACAGAGAAGAAACCGGTTGGAGAACTTCTCTGTTGTGGCCGAATCCTATTGGCTGTCAACCCGGAAGTGACCCACGCTGCTCCGCTCAGCACAGCATGATGTGAAAACCACAGCAGCGGTATCTTTGCTGCCAGTGTGGTACATTTTAACAAGCTTTTGATTTCTCTTCGATTTAATTTTATCAGGGCCAGCATACTGGTTCATGATCATATATTATGTTATTTGGTCTTTTTTCCTTTGTGAAAGTAATATATATCACCCCAGAGCAGAGGTAGTTAGCTTGAGATTGACCTCTAAGAGCTTCTTTCAGTGTTTTATTAATCATTTCAATAACATGAGTGAAAATGCTTGTAATCCCGTCACAGTGCATACTTGTGTCGTGTGATATAGTTTGTTCCTCACTCTGATATCGTTTCAAAGCAACTTCATGATGGCAATAAATACATAAACCCACTTTTGCCTGATAAGGGTGAAATACAGTGTGAAGCCTTACAGATTTGTTTATGATTTCAGCCTATTTTAACCTATGTTTCCAGGGTTATCACAAGTCATTCTCACAAATGGCAGCTAGCTACATAACAGTACTTTGATGACATATCGAAGGTTACAATAAAACATAAGTAGCGACAGATAATTTCTTCCATATTGTGACGTACACTTGAGTGTAACAGATTACCAAAAAGAAAAATATTTATAACATGCATTTAGAAAGTGGGTGGATTTTCATTTCATGCCTTTAAATAAAAGTCATTTTTGCATAACAGAAATCAAAATGTTTACGTTGGTGAAGCATAACCCATTCCCTTCAAGGACGAAAACTATATAGATTTTATTCTGTGAGAATCGTGAAGTCCACACCACAGCTGGAACAATATAGTTGGAATCATTGTCAGAGCAATTTTTATTTTTTCAGCTGATAAATGATAAAAATTGGAATCATCCAACTTTAAAGAGCTCAAGCATTTAAAACGGCAGATAATCTGTAGCAAGCGCTAATAATAAACAGAATTGTATTGTCTGTTGGTGTGGACACTAATATAGTTATCGTTTTTTGTGTGAATGGGCCTTAATTCTTTCACCAGCCCTGTGTTTTACCCATGAACTGAGACTGCAGCATACAATAGAAAAATACTCAGGAACTTCAGGATGTGAAAAATGTGAATTTAGATGTAGAACCTGCTGATCAAACCTTCGTTTGTTTATCTGAAGTAGAAACTCCCCATATTAGAGCTGGGAAAGTCCTTGTGATGAATCTCATTAAGAAATGGATATGCATGTGACCAAATTTGTTTACCGAAAAAACATGCCATATGTTGGGTCTAGCTGTGATTTTGTACTTTGTGATCTGAGCGGTTGAGATCATCCCATGTGGAGCCGTGTGTTTGTTTTGATTCTGTGGCTGTGTTGTGACAGTTGGAGACTTGAGTTCTCATAGAGATTAACTATTGAATTTAGGCAGTGTTGTTTAGCAGATGCCAGTTTTGTTGAGGAGGATCACATATCCTCAGTGTGTGTGTTTGATATTATTTTAGTCGGAGCGTTTTTTTCTTAAAATAGTCTTATTATTTGATCATGGACTTTAAGACACTACACTAGTGTGAGGAGGTCTGCATCTTATAATTTGCTGTCAGTCTTGCCGTTTAGTGTTTTTCACTTGTCAAGTAAGTTTGTTTCTCAGTGTTTATTTAAGGAGGGGTGAAGATGTCCGTCGTATAGGTTTATACCTGTCATCAGAATATCTTTGACACAGTGAGTCAAACAGGATGTAGTGAAATGTAGCAACAGCAGACTCATCCATCCAGCCAGCCTCTTTAACACGTGGCATTATCAAACCCTGTTCATGGTCTCTTTTGGATTTATCACATATGTTAGATAGCCACATTACTTGGCTTCAATGAACTTTGGTAGTGATGTGATCATTTCAGAGTAATAACACAAAACATTTATTTGCTAGATTATTCATACCACCTAGAATCAGCCAGACTAATACCAGACTAATTATGCAACTTGCTGCAATTAATTGTTATGATTGGCAAATTAATTGTGTTTTTCTCATGTCAGTTTCAGTGGTAGACACTCATCTTAAGACACCATTTATGAAGTGAAATTGTAAACAAATATAATGTAACATTTCTGTTAAGTTTTAGTAAACAAACATTCTAATATAAAAATAAACAAATACACATGCGTGTGAATATATACACTACCGCTCAAAAGTTTGGGATCAGTAAGACTTGTAATGTTTTTAAAGAAGTCTCTTATGCTCTTCAAGGCTGCATTTATTTGATCAAAAATGCAGAAAAAAAAACAGTAATCTTGCAAAATGTTATTACAATATAAAATAATGGTTTCTATTTTAATATACTTTAAAATATAATTTATTTCAGTGATGCAAAGCTGAATTTCCATCAGCCATTACTCCAGTATAAAGTGTCACATGATCCTTCAGAAATCATTCTAATATACTGATTTATTATAATGTATTATTATTAAGTCTTACTGATCCCAAACTTTTGAGCGGTAGTGTATATTAAGGCTGTCAAAATTAGTGCGTTAATAACGCAAATTCATTTTAACGGCACTAATTTTATTAACACGTGATTAATGCAGCACGCATTTTCTGTTGCAGGGTTTCCGCGGGTCCTTAAAAGGTCTTAAATTTAGTTGTATCATATTTAAGACCATAAAAAGTCTTAAATGGTAGGCTACAAGAAAGTCTTAATTATGATTTCAAGAGGTGGTAAATTTGGGGACGGAAAGACAAGAATTGCGATATGGCTTAATGTGCCGATTTAACTTCAAAAGGCGATGATTTCATTGAATAAAAATGAGCGCTGCATGTTTCAAACTCAGCTGCTGCTGCTGCTTTGTTTACACTCGGAGAAACCGCTATATTTCTGCCGTTCTGACAGCGCCATCTGCTGGCAGAGAATGAATTTGCATTTTCCCATCTGCTGTTTCTGTTCAGACCAATGCGAACATCCACCCATGTTTTTATGCAGCAAACACGCAGTTGTAAATGTGAACTGGTAGATCGATAAGAAGATAATGCATTATAAAAATCTAAACCATGTTTTTACCCTGCAAACACGCAGAGCTGTAAATGTGAACTGGTGGATCGATAAGAAGATAATGCATTATAAAAATCTAAACAATTAAGCCAGTAAAATATAGTTATATGTTATTTAATTAATATAATAATTAATTGATGATAATTGTTTGAATTAATATTATAATTGATACTTTTGACTTTTGATTCAATTTCTTAAAAATGGTTTAAAAAACTTTTTGTTTTTGTGAAAACCTGTATCTGAATTCTTTATGCTCTGTTGAGTATGGTTTCACTAATAATTAACATACATTTGTATAAAGCATCCATATTTGTCCACGTCCATAAGGGTTGGGCGATGTCTACCAAATTGGCATCCAACGATGTCTACAGTGAAACATCGTGATGGACGATGGCATCGGGGGGGGTACATGAAAGTTCACTTACCACATACACAGAGTAAGGAGAGATGACTGATAGGACAATGGCGAATGATTTGCAGATACTGAGCACCACTGACAAATATCTAATATTGTAAAATGTGTGGTAGCGGCAGTACTGGTCCGTAGTATAGAGTCCGTGTGATCACGAATCACGAAAGTTTAAGTAAAATGAGAGCACGCATTCGAAAGCGGTTTCAATGCCCTGCATATTAGCAGCGGCTCCCTGATGCCCGCAATTTATATACAGTATAATTACCCAACGATATAATTGCGAGAGAAAGTATTGAAATATTTTTTATCCTCCCATCTCGTAGGCTATTTATTCCCTTTAGGGGTTCTGTAGTACACTTAATTTCCTTTCCGAACACGGAATTGGGATGCGGCGGATTGCGGGGGAGAGATCACAATGCCGGCTAGGGCTGTGCGATTTGGGGGAAAATATCAAATTGCGATTTTTTTGACAGATATTGCGATTGCGATTTGATT